CGTGTCTCACACACACGACGAGAGACACACACACACACACATATATATATATATATATATATATATATATATATATATATTATTATGAGCACACGTTTGACAAGTACGCATTGGCAAATACCAACAACCACAGTGTGCTATAGACAAAACATTCTGGCATATCGTACGCAACGTACAGAAGTCCACGATGCACATACATATGTGCCATGCCGGTAAATTAAATATTACTTACCATGTTCTTTTGTGATGCGTCTTGTTCGTCCTGCGACGAACACAACCCCGCAAAACAATTCATAGTGACTGGTTCTGTACACTGCTCACCGTTGTGTTCTGCTACTCATTCCTTTCTTAATTGTGGTAACCAGGAGGTGTATGCACTATAAGGCAGCTTTCGCACCCAGAATCTACGGCAGGAGACGATTAACTTACGAAGCCCAATTTGTAAGTAGGGGTTCGCTATTTAAAAATAATCTACGCGACTATACCGAAAAATCTGGCTTAAATCCCGTGTTCAATGCGTCACGCTAAACGTTCATTCGAGCCATTCAATCCTACTTGCTTGTGCTCTTCTGTAACTGATTTATACGCTTATATTTCGTGCGCAAGCGTTGCTTATCTTCATGCAAGGTGGGACGAACGCTGAAAAGACTGGAATCTTTGCTCTGTATGTATTCACATATATTTGACAGTATGTATATTGTAATGTATTATCAAATATTTACCAACAGCGGAGTGTGAACTGTGAACCATAAAAACCTCGCCACTTCCCGTTTTGGATATAAATATCATTTTTTTTCTTCTTAAAATTTTATCGATAATTTCATACATATTTCAAAATATAGTCCATTTAAATATATACGCAAGTTTATGTTGGGTATTTTATATACTACTACGAATATGTAGTTACTTATGCGGAGATGAGGGGATGCAAGTAGCTTTACTTAAATTAAGAACTTTGTATGTATCAGGATAATACTTGCTGGGGTGTATGTATTTTTACCTTGGCTTTATATTAACACTCGATAAGCCTCAACGTATACATATGCAATTGTTTTGAAATATGTTGTCTATTAAAAACCTGGCACACATACTGTGCAGCTGCTTTATTCTTTATGTACATGTTTGTCTATTTCCCGGCCACTCACATATTTTATGGTTTACTGTGTATACACGTATTTATACAAGATTCTTGTCCCAGATAAATGTGTATATTTACTTGCTTTAAGAACTCTCGCTCGTATATAATTTATTTTGTTGTTTGTTGAAAATAGAGCAAACAAACTGTGTTGCTGCTTCGTATTTTATATATATATTTGTCGATTTCTTGGATACCTCCTTAGATGGCGCTGCTCATGACACGGCGATATTCGTAGGTGAAAATAATGCTTTTGTCAGTGGATCCTGGTGTATATTTTTGGCCAGGAGTAGAAACGCACAATGGATCGCAACACATCAGTCATCTAGAATCGCAGTTTGGTGTCTGTATCGCTTCCAGTATTGCCGCGTTTCTCATCTTTGATCGAATCAGTGGAAGCCTATCAAAGGTTCAAACTCCCGGGTATACTGGCTTTTCCACGATTTTTACTATACACCACTCGCATCCTACCATAGTCCTACGGGGCATGGGCGGTGCGTGATACGGCATGTTGTAATGTATCACCCAGAGAATTCTGCCTTCGCATTGTTAGCGACACACTGGACAATGCATCATACGAATTCTCAGATAGAATATCGGATGCACTCTGATGCGCTCTTATTCCTTTTAAGCGCTCTTTTTGCTTGTTTGGAGTTTGCTTCGTGCGAGTAAACTTCATTAAAAACTTTGTCGCTTTCCGGTAGGGACTCGTTGGTGGCGCATGATCAATGTCATTGTCGGTGTTTGAGATTGGATTACATTCGTGAGTTACTTGAAATCTAGATACACACCTGGCTGACGCAGGTTCAACTGACGAAGGCGTCGAACAGAGACACTCATTTTCTTTGCCCATAGCCAACTGAGTCTCATTTGGTGACAATCTTCTTTTTGCGCACATACATGTCAGTTGTTCCAAGACCTTATTTCTGGTTTCTATGAGTGCGAGTGACCCAGCTCTGGACGCATTCACCCTTGTCGCACGCGCAGCGCCCCTAGAACGTCTACCTCCGTTTGCTTCTTGCATGGCATATTTATAACCGTCACCGACGATTGTGTCATCAAAAGAGTGCCTAGACCCCTGCTGTTCTTTTGGAGACTTTCGCTTTGGAATGAACCGATTTCCAAATGAAAGTGTAGTGGGCGACTGTGCTGTGTCGCGATTTGGTGAGAGAAATGTAACTTGATATACATTCGTGGTACTAGATCGTGTGTAAAAGCTTCCCAAGTTCAGATTTACCAACTTATGTAGCGTTTTCTGCGGCGTATAAGCACAATTGAAATGATTTTCTCGCATATCACGGAAAAGACTGCAAACGATGTCTTTTCCAGAAGTATGGAATGCCGTTAGCCACCATTTTTCGTACATGCAGAGCAATCTTTTGCACTGATTGTTGAGTTTGATATACTTCCGTTGTTTCTCAAGTACCCTGAGTGTTTTTACACTATAGGGCATTGCCATCAATTCGTTCTCGCTCAGGTTGTTCCGACCTAGTAGAATATAAGCAAGTTGTATATGTATTTGCACTCTGCGTACAGAGTCTATTAGGTCGACATTGGTCCGCTTCCCAGATTTATCACTTCTTGCGTTGTAGCCGATAGCGAATGTTTGTCCTTTCGAAGCAAGTGATTGTTCACAAGTATCCTCCGAGTGGAGCATCTTAGCTTGTTCTATACGAATCCGTTCACATATGTCTTGGGTAAGAATGAAGGACATGTGATCTTGTATGATACTATACCGCTCTGATATTAATATCAAGTAATGTTCCGTTGTTATATGCCCGAGCATGCGCGAGTAAATTAACATCGGTAGTAGGGAATTCTTTTAGTTCGGGTCAGATATGAATTGAATACTGGCCAAACGTACGTGATTGATATGATACGCCATTGATTACATACTAATGAAACATTTGACAACACGCATGAGAAAGCTGCCGTATAAAACAACAATTGTATTAAAATAATGAAAAATTCCTATATTGCTTTATTTTTATTCTGGACAAAAATCTTGAAGATACATACACGGTAAAAAACAATGAAATTTATATACGACATTAATTCAAATTAGAACGTGAAGCCATTTATAATAATACCGATGTAAAATTGAAACCCTTAAAGTAAATTTACAAAGGGTTGTTTACTAGCTTATTGAGTAAAGATTTCCGAGTCAAATTTGATTGGATGTCCATTGGTTAAAAAAAATGATCTTCGATAATTGACACTCTGAATTCTGAATTCTGATAGCAATACAGATTTACATACTATATGACTACATAGTATAAATACTCTACATACATAGCATTACAGTAATTTCAGCAAGTAGGTTACAGCTAATTTATAAAAGCTGCTTTTTGACTGTTTCAATTTTACACTGTCACAATTTACACGGCAAAAACCGTAGATTCTGTTTACATATGTCATATGAGGTATCAAATTTATAAACATGCGTTGACTGAACTCACGAGCCACGGAATGCGTGCGTATATTAATGTATCAACATCAAAGTTATGAGTTACAGTATCCCATTCTCTCTCCAAGCCAGAAAAAAACTATAAGCAAGTATAAAAAGACGACACGATCCTAACTACAAATATGTTGGCAAGAAACATGACCCTCTGCATTGAGTCTCCGTGGTAAAGTTTTATCTTCCTGGAGACAAAGTAATTTTTCGAAAAACTATCCAGAGGGTCATGCAAGAAGCCTACTGGTACTATTACACACGCACACACAAACTCCAACAAAAATCTTTCTCTCAATGTATA